ACTTCCATTTCACCTTTTGTGGAAAATATGTGTGCGAGTAGCACATGTATACACACACACACACACACACACAAATTGTATGTGTATGCCTGTATACACCTATAAATGCACCTGTACATATAATCCATAAATTCATTATTTTTGAACAACTTGCAATTGGATAGATTTGTAACCTGCTACATGTTACAAAGCCTCATCAAAGACAAAAACCATCTCTTGAAGAAAAAAGATTTCCCTGCTCACAGATGTAAAAAGAATGACAAAATAGGCAATCACTAGAACATCTGCCTGTCTAAATTTGTAGTTATGGTGTAAAGGAAATTTTAATTGATGGACTTCATCCCTATGCTTATATAAGGTTTATAGAAGGAATTATTTGACTAAAAGAAGCAAAACCACTATAACAAGGGTCTCCAACCTTGGCAACTTTAAGACTTGTGGACTTCAACTCCCAGAGTTCCTCAGCCAGCAAAGCTGGGAGTTAAAGTCCACAAGTCTGAAAGTTGCCAAGGTTGGAGACCTCTGCACTATAACAACATTTTCTAAGTAAGGTTGAGCAAATGTGAAAGCAATTTAATATGCACTGATGATCTTATTTACACAAGTGATAGTCAAAGGATGGTTCAACAGCTCAGAAACAGGGTGAAGTGGGGAAGAGTCCTTTGTGTCCTGGGACCTCGTAAAAATATCCCCTCCACCAGTTGCTTTTTACATTTTAAACCAAGCTTATATTAGAAAGTCAAACTAAATGAAAAGATTATTATGGGTGAAACAGAAAACCAAATTTAGATGTAAAGAAAGAGTGATTATATAGGAAAGAACCAACAGGTTTTAGATGCAGAAGAAAATATGTTTAATAACCTTCATTTCAACTTAGTATTAAGATTTAGTATTAAGAATTGAATTAAGAATTAAGAATAAAATAGTATTAAGATTCCTTGACTTTAGAACTTATTTTTTGATTGTAATTATCTAAGATAATTATGTAGTCACTTATAATAATAATGTCCTGAAAGCTCACCCTTCATCTTGCAATTAATTTTAACAGTGTTTAATCATTAATCAAGATCTATGGTTAGAATGCAGTATTGCAGACTAACTCTGCCTATAGCAAAAAGATCGATCCTGACCAGCTCAAGGTTGACTCAGCCTTCCATCCTTCCAAGACTGGTAAAAAGAGGACCCAGATTGTTAACAGCAACATGCTGACATTGTAAAGCTCTCAGAGAATGCTAAAAAGCACTATATAAAACTGTACAGACCATAAGTCTAAGTGTTATTGCTATTGCTATTCTTCCTCTTTGTAAATTTTTAACGTTTATACACTGTTTTTATATTTTAACATTTTAAAGTCCTTCTCTGAGATAGATGGCCTGTAAGAAATATTTTTTTAAAAAATAAATAAATATAAATATTAACAGTCAGAAAGTATGTGTATACTTTTCCCACACAGGCATTAATAGAGAGTGAGGGACTGGGATTCTAGGACTTGTTAGTACAATTTCACATATATTGCTTTTCCTGTTGTGAATCTCCATCTTTATTGCATATGTCCAAGGTGGGATCTTGCTCTCCAATCTTCACATGAAGAATTGCTATAGTGCATGAAGGGGACTATTGATATATATATAAATATATTGAGGAAAAACAGCATGGTTAGCAGATGATCAGAAAAGAGTTTAACAATGAAAAAGGTATATCCCATATGTTCTAATATTCAGTACAATGATTAAAAGTGCTTTGTAAGTCCATAAAATCAATCTACAAATCAACTTTCTTTAAAAATGCCTATTCCTTGCTATACAATTCCAGATGGTGTAGTATAGTTTTGGTTTTTTTAAAAGTGAAATAGATTAGAAAGCAAGAATATGGAAGGGAGATTTTATGACCTTTGAAGGGGAGAGGAGGGGGGAGAGAGAGAGGGAGGGAGGGAGAGAGGGAGAGAGGGGGGGAGACAAAATCATTTACTAATTTGATGCATTATGTACAGCAATCCTCAGATCTGTTTAGAAAAAGAGTCATTCAAATGATATTCTTCACATAAGGAAAGACTTATTCATATCAATCCTATCAGCCACATGGTACTCACTCTTAGTGAACATGTACTATAGCACATCATATTTCCAGAATAATCCTTAGGTAGTTCTCTACTATTGGAAAGAACCATTCAAACCTAATTTATAAAAGATGATCAATACTAATGAATCTCAAGCAAACAACTCCAGTCCTGAAAAAAATCAATGTTATGTTTTGCTTTGCCTGCAAGCACGCATTTGTCATGAATTTGACTGCCATTAAATGCCAGTAGAGAATTGAAAATGAAATGTGGACATTGGAAAGCAAACAGTACCAATTTAAACAAGGAAAGGAGATTGAGATAAAATGTTTATTTTATCTTAGGGCTGTGCTATCATTTCATCTCCTCCATAGCCTCTTCAAACACATCTTAGAACGGAGCTAGGCTAAAAAGTTAATTATATAAAAATAGAGATTAATGAACATAAGTAAAATAGGCTTTTGTTGACCTCCAAAAAGAACAATTTTTGTATTCTTCACTTAGTTTTATATTTGGCAAAAGCAGTACAGTATCTCTGGTAATCAGACTATCCACATGTTTGAGTGGGCTTATTGGATCTAAATTCTAATTAGTTCCTTTATGTAACTAAAAATAATAGTTCGGAATAGAAGTAATGTGCTTATAGAGCTCAACCTAGCAATTTTAATGTCTTTTTTTGTTAAGGCAGAAGAGTGGCTTTTCTTTCATTTGGGAGATGGCAGTGATTAAATTGTAAGGGGGGAGGGCGAGAGCAAAACCTATCTGTGAATACTTTGAATAAAAACTCATTACTTTTCTTTGAAAGATATTTTTCTGCAAGCAGGAGCAGCATCTGGCTTTGAGTAGTGGGAGGCTGCTACAGAATTTCCCCATCTAGTCCATCTTGCTATCTCCTGTCCTAGGAAATAGGAAGAAATTTCCTGACAGTGAGAACAATTAATCAGTGGAATGGCTTGCCTTCAGAAGTTGTGGGTGCTTCATCACTGGAGGTTTTAAGAAGAGATTGGACTGCCATTTGCCTGAAATAGTATAGGGCAGGTGTGTCAAACTGGCGGCCTGTGGGCCGGATGCGTCACGTGCAGGCCACGCCCACCCTAGCTCCGGAAAAGGGAAAAACGTCGCGATATGTCACGTGATGACAACATGACACCGCGAGTTTGACAGCCTTGGTATAGGGTCCCCTGTGTGAGCAGGGGGTTGGACTAGAGGATCCCTGTTAAGGAATAACCCTTGAGTAGCAAGGGTGTGCACATGAAAGCGGTTGAGAGTAGTTATGAATAAGCACAGTCACCACACAGATACACTGAGTCGTGTTATAGTTTACACAGTCTAATAAACAAAGTCTTCATACCAGTCGTATTAATCATAAACAGTAAACAGTTCTTCTAGAGTTGCAGACAGTAAGACAGTAAATCAGATAGAGATATCAGAGAGCAAGAACAACAGAGAGAACAAGCCATGTTTCTAGCTCCCTCTTAAGGACATTGGCAATAGAGCTAGCCAATCAGTACACAGTATGATGCAATACAGTAGTCTTAAAGCTACACAATAGAATACAATATAATGCAAACATACATTGATGGTTTATATATTGCCAACCCAACAAGTTAGGTAATAGTCATATTCCTAACAATCCCTAATGTCCCTTCCAAGTCTGTTTTTCTGTTAGGTCCCTCTCAGCTTTGCCAAAACATTGAGCTCCAAAATTGAGCATAGAAGTAGATATCTTTGTGCTGGAAAAGAAGATGGTAGTTGCTGCAAAATCTCATAAAATGTCAAAGGAGAAAAAGCGATACCAGAATGCTTAAGAGGATCGTTCACAATTGTTCCCCGTTCCTGGCATTAAAAACAAAAAAGATACATGTTAGTCAGGATTTCATGTAGTCAGGGAGACTTTATAGAGATTTTCAATCATGGACTCTACAGGAGGCTGATATCAAAGAAATCATTTATTTATTGGTTCTGTATATTTCGCCTTCCCTTCCACCAGGCTCTCAATTCAAAATTCAAAGCAATTTTAAAAGGCCAAAGAGTTACATGAAGTCCAAGAAAGTCTGTCTGAAGAAGAAAGTTGCATAGGGATTATTAAAGAATTACTTGCATAGGGATTATTCTTTATACTATTTATGTTGTTTGTATTTTTTCTCATGGATTGCACCAGTGAGGCTAAAACCAATTTCGTTGTATACATGATGTACAATGACAATAAAGGCTATACTATACTATACTACACTAAAGTCTAAGTCAGGGGTCTCCAACCTTGGCAACTTTAAGCCTTGTGGACTTCAACTCCCAGAATTCCTCAGCCAGTAAAGCTGAGAGCTGAGCCAGCTGAGCCAGCAAATTCTGGGAGTTGAAGTCTACAAGTCTTAAAGTTGCCAAGGTTGTAGACCACTGATAGGTTTAAAAAATTTTTACTACCGGTTTTGTGGGTGTGGCTTGGTAGGCGTGGTAGGGGAAGGATACTGTAAAATCTCCATTCCCACCCCACTCCAAGGGAAGGATACTGCAAAATCCCCATTTCCTCCCGATCAGCTGGGATTCGGGAGGCAGAGAATAGATGAGGGCGGGGCCAGTCAGAATTTTTACTACTGGTTCTCTGAACTACTCAAAATTTCTGCTACTGGTTCTCCAGAACTGGTCAGAACCTGTTGAAACCCACCTCTGTTGGAGACCCCTGGTCTAAGTCATTTCCTGAAGGCAGAAAGAGCGAGAAATAAATACAAGTCCAGAGGGAATATATTTCTTAACTTTGAAGCAATGTAAGAAAGAGATCCTTCAAGCCCAGGTTGAATTCAATCCATTGATGATTTTTTTTAAAAAAAAAAACATCCTTTTTTGTGTACCTGTATACGTGCACACACTATCTAAATAGAAGCAACTTACCAGGTTTTATGACCATCGATGTGACACATCCTTTCTTTTTCTTTTTTCTATTTTTCAGCTGGGCTGCTGGAATCCTGGCACTGGTCTGAATGGGTCACTAACAGATAGAAGACTGGAAAATAACATGCGGGGAGTAGTTCTTCGTGTAGTCACTGTGTTGGTAAGTGGAATTACATTTAAAAAAAACATTTATAGATATAGATCCATTGGAGCTATAGAAATCATCAGTTCAGAAATCATGTGGGGGTTTCCTTAAATCTCCAAAGTGAATGTGAAAAAAGGACCAGGACAAAGTGAAAAGAAAGACTAGGGGTGACATGATAGCAGTGTTCCAATATTTGAGGATTTGCCACAAAGAAGAGGTGGACAACTTATTTTCCAAAGCATCAGAAGGCAAGACAATGGATGGAAACTAATCAAGGAGAGAAGCAACCTAGAATTAAAGAGAAACTTCCTAACAGTGAGAACAATTAATCAGTGGAATGGCTTGCCTTCAGAAGTTGTGGGTGCTACATCACCGGATGCTTTTAAGAAGAGTCTGGACAACCACTATACCTGGAAGGTATGTTGTATAAAGGGTTGAACTAGAAGACCACCAAGGTCCCTTCCAACTCTGTTATCCTGTTATAATTAATTCTCCAAAACAAAATGAAGAAGCATCCTGGGCCCATTAAATCAGGCTGGGTGTTTGTGAATCAGTTTGCTTATTTGGAATGATTCGAATAAGATTCCAAAAATCAGCACACTCGTCTTCCTTCTAACTACTTTTATTGGGTTCTCTGGTTTCCTAAAATAGTTTGTTGATTCAGGGTGTCTAAAGAATTAAGATAACACAAAACAGAACTGTAATCAAATATGTGTGGCCTTTCCGTAGAGCAGAGGTGTCAAACTCAAGGGCCATGGGCCGGTTTCCAGCCCGCGATGTGGTCGGATCTGGCCCATGCGATTGTCCTGAAAATGTAAGGGGCTGACCCACATTGCTTTGTCCCGGTCTACCCAATGCATGGGGGCGGGGCATATACAGGCATTGCATTTTGGGGCAGAGGTGAAATGCTCCCAGTTCAGACGGGTTTGGGCAATCCGGTAGCGATTGTGGCAGGTGGTTTGGAGAACTGGTAGCGATGGCGGCGCGAGGCTTTGCCTACCTGCCTGGGTGTCATTACTTCCTGGTTTTAACCAGGAAGTAATGTGTTTCTTACCATCTGTGCAAGAAGGCTTTGCGCATGTGCAAAGGGTGTGTGTGTGCATGTGATGCGTGCGAGCAAAGGTTTTGCGCATGTGCAGAGGGTGTGTGCGTGCATGTGAAGTGGTGCTTGCACTTCCGAACCGGTAAGGAAGATAAGTAGATTTCACCCCTGTTTTGGGGGTTCAGATACGTGCTTTCGGCACTCGGTCTGGAAAAGGTTAGCCATCGCTGTTCTAGAATGTCCTTGAAAGAGCTATGGATTATTACTAAAGGCAAGTATTATACTTTTGACCATGTAGTCAGCAGCAGTTGAATTAGCATTTCCATTAAGCATGAGGTGCATCAGATTAAAGTGACAAGCTAGCTGTTCCTTTGTGCAATTCTTTCCAGGATTCAAAATGTTCTTCCTGTCATTATGTTTTTTTTTTTAGTGAACCTTTCCCTATTCTCAGTCTAAGCCATTTAATAAATGTCTTATCTTGACAATTCTGCTGCTACCAAGAAGAAAGGCCCGGTAGTTTACATTTCTAAAATATGTACAGGTAAGCAGAAAAAGGTTGAACATTCACATCAATATGATAGGTGAATTTTCAGCATTCCTCCCATACTAGGGATGGGCTGCTTCTTTTTGACCGAGAAACACATTTCCTCAAGAGTCAAAGCTAAATTAGCAAAATCCTAAAATCATATTAAGGACACTTACAATAAAACATAAGTGAAAGTTAGTCACCATGGAAATGAGATGTGTGAGGAAAGCTACTGGAGTGACCAGCAGAGATAAAATCAGAAATGAGATAGTAAGAGAAAGAATTGGCATAGAACCAGTGGTGGGATTCAGCCCGGTTCAGGCAAACCGGTTGTTAAATTGCTGGTTGGCCCCACCCCTCCCCACCCTGCCCCTTCCAGGAGTCTCCACGCACCCCGTTTTTGCTCCCAGGAGGCTGAAGAGAGGCCTACTAGGCCCAAAACAGGGCACGGGAGGGTGCAGCACGAGGCCCCCTGCACCTCATTTTTGCTCCCAGGAGGCTGCAGGAAGGCCTACTAGGCCCAAAATGGTGTATAATGGGGGGGGTGGCACGGGCCCCCCTTGGCCTATTTTTTTTCTCAGGAGGCTGCAGAGAGGCCTACTAGGCCCAAAACGGAGGGTAGGGGGGGTGGCACAGGCCCCCCATGGCCCGTTTTTTCTCCCAGGAGGCTGCAGGGAGGCCTACATGGGGTGCAGGTGCGGGTGTGTGTGCCCCCCCACAGCCTGAGTTTGCTCCCAGAGGGGTGCAGGAGGCCAAGTGCAACCCCCTGGCCATGCCCACCATGGCTACCAGCCGGTCATTAGGGCAGATAACCTGTTGTTAAACTATTTGTGTTGAGTCCTCGCGGGTAGATACGCCCCACGCCGGCTCCGTCATCAGTGGGCTCGGATTGGTGGAGGCGCACAGCAACTGTTTAGGCGGGATGCTGCCTGATTCAGGATTGGTCAGACGTCTGACAGCTTGGGTATTTAAGCAGCTGTCAGGCGGGGCGAGTTGGTTCCGTTGCTTGTTGAGTCTGTTTAATAAAGTTACCTGTTCAGCAGCCTGGCCTCAGTGTCTCCTTCACGAATTTAACAACTGGCGACGAGGATGGGATCGGCTTGAAGAACCCTCGCCGGAACTGAGGCCAGCTGAGGGGCGCCACGGTGATTGTCAATACCGCGATGGCTGTTCCTCTTCCTACTTTCACGCCGTTCGAGGCAGCAACAGAGACGTGGGACGAATACATTGAACGGTTTGAATGCGTCTTACAGGCAAATGACCTGGCAGATCTTCCCCCGGCCAGGAAGAGAGGGTACTTTTTAAGCTCCTGCGGGCGTGAAATATTTGCCACCGCCAGAGCCCTGGCCGCGCCTCAACCTGTATTCACCGTGCCCTGGGAGATACTATTGGACAAGCTAAAACAGCACTACGCCCCGCCCCCTCCAAAATAGCCCGGCGGCATGCTTTTTATCAGCGATCGCAAAAGGCAGGGGAGTCTGTCAGCGCGTATATGGCTTCCCTGCCTTTTGCGATCGCTGATAAAAAGCATGCCGCCCCACGCCGGCTCCGTCATCAGCGGGCTCGGATTGGTGGAGGCGCACAGCAACTGTTTAGGCGGGATGCTGCCTGATTCAGGATTGGTCAGACCGTCTGACAGCTTGGGTATTTAAGCAGCTGTCAGGCGGGGCGAGTTGGTTCCGTTGCTTGTTGAGTCTGTTTAATAAAGTTACTGTTCAGCAGCCTGGCCTCAGTGTCTCCTTCACGAATTTAACAACTTGAATCCCAGCACTGCATACAACCAATTTTAAAACTACATACAAAAACAGCAAATAAAGTGCTTTGCTCACTTGGAGGCGATGTCTTGGGATTTCATATCGTACAAGGCATATGCAAAAAGAGGAGAAGGTCAAAGAAACACAAGGCAGACTCAGAAGAAGATGGAGAGAAGCATCAAAGATACACTACAAGAACATCAAATAACAATGGTTAAGACTGCCCGAAGAGCAAGAACCAGAACTTTGTATTTCCCTCAATATCTGAAGGGGTAGAAGAGAAAGTGGAACAGGAAAGAAGAGGAAAGAAGAAGGAGGAGGTTGCTTCCTGATAGCAGGTCCAAAATGCTTTGTACTAGTCCAGTTGTTTTTTGAACAGGTGGGCTTACTTCCAAAACATGGAAGGGCCATGCAGGGCCTTGAAGTGATCTGATAAAGTGGATGCTTTTCAATTTATATTCATGTTTAATTAAAGGAATATTTTAAAATTTAGTCGTACAATTTAGAAACCGTGGAGCTTCCGAGGGAGATACACAAAGCTTTATGTTGCCTCCTACAGTAGAATTACAGTGAATCAGAACTCAAATAAGTATCATTGCATGGACTCACATTTGTTCCTTGCTGCATGTGTATCTCCTTTTCTTCCCTGTTTCAAAATGTAAGCTTATTAGATCATAAATTGTTGCATTAACAACAGCGCTTAGACTTATACACTGCTCTATACAGCACCCTTGGATAAGGTGACCAGATTTTAACATTGGTAAAGAGGGACATTGTGGGCGTGGCTTATTTTGTGGGCGTGGCTAGCTGGTCATGTGACTGGGTGGGCATGGCTAGCTGGTCATGTGACCGGGTGGCCATGGCTATGTCTATAGGGTAAGGTGAACAGATTTTAACATTGGTAAGAAGGACACCATTGTGGGCGTGGCTTATTGTGTGGGCGTGGCTTGGAGGCTATGTGACTGGGTGGGCGTGGCTACCTGGTCATGTGACCGGGTGGCCATGGCTATGTGTATAGGGACTACTCAGAGGGCTGAAAAGTCATTTCTGACAGGTCCTCACACTTTTGACTGGTCCTCACACTTATGACCATCCTCACATTTATGCCCGTGCAGCATTCTTAACAACCATGTCACTCATTTCACAACTGCTTCTCTTCAACAAGGTGACAAGATAGGGCAAAAATGTAAAATGTGAGGACAGTCGTAAGTTCGAGGACTGGTCAAAAGTGTGAGGACCAGTCAAAAATAACTTTTTCAGCCCTCTGAGTAGTCCATATGCACAAAAGGACTAACCAGAGAGCTGAAAAAAGTCATTTCTGACAGGTCCTCACACTTTTGACTGGTCCTCACACTTATGACCATCCTCACATTTATGCCCATGCAGCATTCTTAACAACCATGTCACTCATTTCACAACTGCTTCTCTTCACCATGATGACAAGATAGGGCAAAAATGTAAAATGTGAGGACAGTCATAAGTTCGAGGACTGGTCAAAAGTGTGAGGACCAGTCAAAAATAACTTTTTCAGCCCTCTGAGTAGTCCATATGCATTAAAGGATTACAGCAATAGAGAGGGATGAAGGAATGGAAATTAGAGTAGGAGTGAGGGTAAGAGAGGGAGGAAGAGAGGAGGAGAAGGAGAAAGAAAGAGGAAGTAGGGAGGAGAAAAAGAGGGTGGGGGGAAGAGAAA